GGGACTCCTGCCCTTACTATTTTAATGGTCACTATTTTAATCTGAAACCTGTTCATATGACGTGAAAGACAAAGGAAATGAAACCTGTCAAATGGCCCTGAGATGATTCCATGAAATCCATTAAATACAGAATGGAAATGGCACTATTTTTTTTTTTTTTAAACTTTACTCAAAATGAATAAATGGATGAATAATTTAAAAATGGATTCCTCGTCCGACCGGGCGTGGCTCAGCGGCTGAGCGTCGACCTGGGATCCAGGCGATCAGGGTTCGATTCCCGGTCAGGGCACGTGCCCGGGTTGCGGGCTCCATCCCGTCGGGGGAGTGCAGGAGGCAGCTGATCAATGACTCTCTATCATTGATGTTTCTCTCTCTCTCTCCCCCTCTCCCTTCCTCTCTCTGAAATCAATAAAGATATATTTTTTTAAAAAAAAAGTATTCCTCCGCCCGGCCAGTGTGGCTCAGTTGGTTGAGCGGCAGACTATGCAAAGGAGCCGGTTCCATTCCTGGTCACAGCACAGCCGCAGTGTGGGGGGTGGGGGGGGGTGCAGGAGGCAGCTGATCGATGTTTCTCTCTCATCGTCCAGGTTTCAATCTCTTTCTCTCTCCCTTCCTCTCTCTCTAAAAACCAATAAAAAGATTTTTTAAAAAACTATTAAAAAAATAACAAAATAAAAATGGATTCCTTTGACTCAGTGCATTAGTAATGATATAACCTGAATGAAACTGTTCTACAGGAGAAAACAATCTGGTCTACACCTATTAGCCCCAAAGCAGGTGGGGTGGGTGGGCACTCCAGTCCTGGGAGTCCTCAGCAGAAAGACTGCCCAGCTAGGGCCCTCCTGGGGCCAGGGGGCAGCTCGGAGGATTCCATTACTTCCCACAACTGGGACAGTATTAGGATGTAACTTTACACATGATCTCAGGAGGGTGAGCATAGAAAACGTGAGGATCGCACTGATAATACAAGTTCATTATTTCAACAACTGCAACAAAAATGTATTATTTGTAAATGGAGACAGTGTTGATACTGAAAATAATTCACCTCTTTACCTCCCAGTAGTCGGTTTGAGAAATATTTAAGTCAATCAAAGGACACACAGCAAGAGAGTCAGTGACATACTAAAACAGGCTGAGGGTGGCCCTTAGGTGTTAGATAATAGCTGAAAAAATTACTAGAAATATGCTAACTCCAATCTTAAACTCATCACCTGTCTGGTGAGGCCACTTTCAAAGCATCTAGTTCTATTTTTCACTCAGGTGAGCAGAGCTTCACCTATTTAGGGGCAAGAATTTCATTTTCCTAATTAATTTTCTCTTTTTTTAAAATTTATTTATTTATTTATTTTTAAAATATATCTTTATTGATTTCAGAGAGAAGAAAGGCGAGGGAGAGATGGAAACATCAATGATGAGAGTCATTGATCGGCTGCCTCCTGCATGCCCCCAACTGGGGATTGAGCTGGCAACCCGGGCATGTGCCCTGACCAGGAATCGAACCCTGATCGCCTAGATCCTAGATCGACGCTCAACCGCTGAGCCACGCCCAGCCGGGCCCTAATTAATTTTCTCTTATGCTCAAATTTTACCATTACTACCTTTATACTGGGGGAAATAACCTTTATTTTAAAATTTTTGTGTGCTTGTCCAGCCAGCATGGCTCAGCGGTTGAGCACTGACCTATGTATGATCCAGGAGATGGAGGTTGGATTCCCTGTCAGGGCACATACATGCCTGGGTTGCGGGCTCGATCCCCTGTGGGAGACGTGCCGGAGGCAGCTAATCAATGACTCTCTCATCATGGATGTTTCTCTCTCCCCCCTCCCTTCCTCTCTCTGAAATCGATAAAAACACACTTTGAAAAAAAATTTTTTTGTGTGTGTGCTTATCTGTAACAATAAAGTTTTGTGCTGCTCAGGCTGTCACTCTTATTGGAGCAGCTCCCCTGTCCTGTCCTGCCAACAGCCACACCTTCCCAGCCAACCCTGGGACAGACAATTTGAAACTGCCACAAACAGAAGGCCTTCCCTGAATCTCCCTGTACCAGGATAGAGATGTAGGTGAGGGTCAGCTCGGCAATGCAGAGAGCCCTCCACAGGTGCCAGGTGTCCCAACCACTCAGATGTGGCCTAAGGGGGGCAGCCCACCACCCCCATGGCTGTGTGTCCATCCTGCTCTTCCCTGTACTTTCATGACAGTCCCTACCGGAGCTCTGAGCCCCTACCTAGGCTGCCAGATAGGTTCCTTCCAACCTGGCTCCAATCGCATTGGTCATCAGCCGACAAACCCTCAATGACTGCTAGCAGCTAAGGAACACCTATAGTTGGCAGCCATGCCCACTGCCTTCTGGCCTCATCCCCAATCCCTCCACACCCTTGTCATGCCCGGCCCCTCACCTTCTGGTGGCCTCCCCGCCCCACCTAGATCCCGCTTTAATTTCTCTAAAGCCTTCCATTCTCTGCCTTGCCTTGAGGCCTGTGCAGCTGCCCCCACCCGAGGGCTCCTCATCAGATCTGTAGCCTCAGGCTGCTGGTGAAGCAGGCATTTCCACCACCACATGCCATGCGGCCAAACTAATAGACCAAAAACACAGGTGGCTTTTCCACCAAAACTTGCATTCTGAAAGGTATTCCCAAAATGCTACAATGTAAGTACTAAGAGAAGTCAGGGCAAGAGTCTTGGGCTTACCTGGGACAGACTCGAGGGCACTGCCAGTGGGGTCCAGTGGGTGGGCACGGGCCGAGAGAACAGGCAGAGCGGTGGGGGATGAGCTGCTGGAGCCAGCACTGGACGCCAGGCTGGACGCCACGCTGGAGCTCACGCTGGGAGCAAGCGGATGAACCATTGTAAACACCGCCAGGTGGTTCTGTGCAAAGACACAAACTAGATGAGCAGACGCACCTGCAGGGACAACAGCAGCGTGACCTTAACACAGTGTCACGGACAGAAGCATTGACTGACCTCCATCCTCAAAGCAAAACATAACGAAAGTGGGCTTTCCCCCTAAATGTCCAATTATTTACAATGACCTAGGCAAGCAGACTTGCTAGCAGCCAATCACCCAGGGATGGGAACAGATGTATCTAGAAAGTGTCTCATCTAATGAACTGCTCTGCATAAAGCGGTTTTAAAGAGTAGGCATTCAGCACTAGAAAACCGCCCACCAAGAGACCAAAGCAGAGAACCAGTCCCCTTCCGAAAACAGATGAAATGGTCCCATGACCTCATTACCCAAGAAAAGCAAAAAACGGGGGCAATTCACACCATCTTTATGTGACAGGTAACACTGAAAGACAGCTAGCCCAGTCTTGGATGAAGAGCCGGTAATGTGCAGGGCGCTGTGCACAAGGAAAGCGTGCAATGACAATGGCTCAGGACAGAGCTGCGAGCCAGCCCGCACTGCATCTAAAAGACAGGCTTGAAAGTTACTATGACATCAGGAGTCAGAGCTATATTGAGGTGAAATGTGTGATGTCTGGGTTCTGCTTCAAAATAATATAGAAGTCACCCTGGGGGTGGGGGAGCTAAAAGAAGGCCAGCGACAAGGTGGGGTTGCTAGTTTATCAGCTTAAGGGAAGTTTTCCCTAATAAGGAGTGTTACCATGCATTCTGTCAGGCAGAAATCTGGCATAGGACAGTTTTTCGATGTGAATGTTACTTGGCCCTGAGGCCTCGTTCTCTGTGTTCATGGGCTCCCAGCCCCCTCCACTGGCTTTGCTCAAGAGAGTTACCCATGACAGACCACTGATTCACGAGTACAGAGATCCTGGAACTGATCACTACTGTTTGAGGTTAAAATTTAAAAATAAAAACTCAAATTGCAGAAGTCTGGGAAGCTGTGTCCCCTAATGCTCCCCGGGGTCACCCACAAGCAAGCTTTCCTGTCCCTCCAGCTCTGGAGGTGTGACCACAGGCCTCTCGTTCCTTGCCCTCCCCTGGGCTGTGTGCCTTCCCCAGGTGAGCCAGGAACTGCTGTAACCCACTGAGGACACTGCATATGCCCCAAACCCCACATACTGAGCCTGACTTGGAGCCACAGCCTGAGGCACCCACCCACACAAGTCAAGTCACACTGCAGGAGGACGTGCCCCCTCAAAGACATCAGGTGACACTTTGTCCTGACAACTGATGACAACATCCAGGTGGGCCCTTTCACTGAGGCCATGGTAGTTACAAATGTACCAGGATGGGTCAAGCACGGGGTCCCCAACACAGGGGAGTGTGACACGCACGGCGAGATGGGGGACCATGCTCCCCATGACAGCTTTGTCTGCTTGGCTTACTTTCTTCTTTCTTATGGTGAAATATACATAACACAAAATTAACCACTTTAACCATTTTTATGTGCACAATTCAATGGCACTAAAGACATTCACATTGTCGAGCAACATCACCACCATCCATCTCCATAACTTTTCCATCTTCTCAAATTGAAACTCTGTCCCCATTAAATACTTACTCCCCACTCCTCCCTCCCCGACCCCTAACACTACCATCCTTCTTTCAATCTGTATGAATCTGACTCCTCTAGGGGCCTCTTATGAATGAAATCATACAATATGTGGTCCTTCGTGTCTAGCTTATTTCACTTAGCATAGTATCTTTGTTATGGACTGAATGTCTATGTCCCTCCAAGATACAAGGGTTGAAGCCCTAACCCCACAGTGTGCCTGTATTTGGGGACAGGGCCTTGAAGGAAGTGATTAAGGTTAAATAAGGTACTAAGAGTGGGATCCTGATCCAATAGGACAGGTGTCCTTATAAAAAGAGAAAGACACCAGGGATGTACATACACATGGAAAAAGAATATAAGCACATAGCATGATGCCAGCTGTCTGTAAGCCAAGGAGAGAGGCCTTGGGGAGATCAAACATGCCTACCCTTTGCTCTTGGACTTCCAGCCTCCAGAACTGTGAGAAAATAAATTTCTGTTATTTCAGACAGCAAGTCTATGGTATTTTGTTATGGTAGCCAGAGCTAATAGTCTTCAAGGTTCATCCATGTTGTAGCATTGCCAGAACTTCCTTCCTTTTTAAGGCTGAATAATATTCCACTGTGTGTATACACCACATTTAGCTTATCCACTCATCCGTCAATGGGCACTTCGGTTACTTCCATCTTTTGGCAATTCTGAATAATGCTGCTATGAACATGGGTGAACAAGTCTCTCTTTGAGACACTGCTTTCAAATCTTTTGGGTATATATCCAGAGGTGAAACTGCCCCATCATATGGTAGTTCTATTTTTAATTTTTCAAGGAACTACCATACTGTTTTCTAATGCACAGAAGTTGCAATTTCTCCACATCCTCACCAACATTTCTTATTTTCTAGTGTGTTTTTTTCTTACAGCAGCCATCTTAATGAATGTGGAAGTCATATCTCATTGTGGATGTGTTAGGACAAGGATCTCAATGGGCAGTTCTAAATGTTATTTTTGCTAAATGTTAAAATATAGCACAGTATTTTGCAGATGCAGCAGTAAACTAGATAAGCTGAAGGGGGAACTCAAGAAATGAAAGTAGCCAACTGCAAAGAAGAAATCAACATATAATTCACCAAATAATACATATAAGCAATGGGTAAGCCCCCCTTTGAGGAAGCAGAGCTTTGCACATAAATCCTGTCTCCCTGACTTGCTGCAAGCAAGTAAAATTACCTTGTGATAACAACCTCTCGTTTGTTTTTTAATTCTTGCCTGAGGTTATGCACTTTTGCTGATTTTTTTATAGAGAGAGGAAGGGAGAGAAACAATGATGTGAGAAACATCAGTTGGTTGCCTCCCGTATGTGCCCAACCAGAGAGCAAACCCACAACCTAGGTATGTGCCCTGACCAGGAATCGAATCTGCAGCCTTATAATGTATGGGATGACATTTCAACTAACTGAGCCAGCAGGCCAGGACTCACCTTTTTTTTTTTTTTAATTGATTTTTAGAGAGAAAGGAAGGGAGAGGGAAACATTCAGTGAGAGAGTGAAACATTGATCAGCTGCCTCCTGCACGCCCCACACTGGGGATGGAGCCTGTAGCCTGGGCAAGTGCCCTGACTGAGAACTGACCGGGCAACCCTTACGTGCACGAGAGGCTGCCCAACCGACTGAGCCACACTGGCAGGGCTCACCTCTCATTTTTGAATAGAGTACCCCAAGTGGTGAACCCCTTGTTAACAGATGTGATTTGCATTTCCCTGATGACCAGTGGTGTTGAGCATCTTTTCATGTGCTTATGGGCTATTTGTATATCTCCTTTGGAGAAATGTCTATTCAAGTCCTTGGCCCATTTTTCAATTGGGTTGTTTTGTCAATGTTGAGTAGTAGGAATTCTCTTTAAGTTATGGACATTAACCCCTTATCAGACACATGATTTGCGTTTTCACTCTGTTGACACTGTTCTTTGACACACAAGTTTTTCTTGTTGTTTTTTTAATATGTTTTTATTGATTTTAGAGAGAGAAACGCTGATGTGAGAAACATCAATTGGCTGCCTCCTACACACCCCCTAGCAGGGACCGAGCCTATAACCCGGGTATGTGCCCTGACCAGGAATCAAACTGACGACCTTTTGGTGCACAGGATGAAGCTCAACGAACTGAGCCACGCCAGCCAGGGTGGGATTCAAGTTTTTAATTCTGATGACGTGTAACATCTATTTTCTCTTTTGTTGCCTATGCTTTTGGTGTCATATCCAAGAAACCATCACCAGTCCCAGTGTCATGAAGCTTTTCTTATGGCTTGTTTTGAGTAACAGGCTGGAGGAGAGCAACTTCCATTAATGAGAGACACTTGGTCAGGGGACCTTGGAGTAACCAGGGGTCTTATCAAAGTGATAACCTTGAAAACGTACATGTTAGCAAGGAAGCGAGTACCCCAAGGTACTCAGGATGATGACTCTGCCCCCAACCACATGGCTCTCACAGGGTTGTATTCTCTGGGACTGGCAAGGTGACATGCCCGGCTGCCTTACACTGGGCCTCTCGGGTGGGGTGAGAGTGAGTCCTGGGCTCTGGGCACTCCAGGGACAGATTCTCTCAGTCTCTGCAGCCTGCATGGACCATCACCTGGGCCATGATGAGTGCCTCAACTCTGAGCAATGGTGGAGGCGCCAGCAGGAAAGCTGCTTTACTCCACATGCTCCATCAAGTGTGGCCTGGCAAGAAGGCTTCTAAGGAAGAGACCACCCAGGAAGGAAAATGGAAACTGGGGAGTGGGCCAGACTAAGCAGGAATTGAACCACCTCAGTTTATCAATGAAAACTCTGGGCAGAGGGGCACCTGGTGCTCCCCACCCCAACCCAATGACCGAGGCCCTAGAAACAAGAGCTGCCGCCAGGGCTGGGGAACACAGGGGCAGTGGGGACACAGGGACCTGCGGCTGACACAGAGGAGATGGGAAGTCCCAAGGATGGAGGGGTCAGCACTGTCCTCTGGCCAGAGTGGACAGGCGCCCACATGCAGGGAAGGGGTCCCCAGGATAGCCGTCTGTCCACTAGAGTACTGCTGGTTCTCCAATCCTGCCCCACCTGGCGCTCGCTGGCCCTGGAGCCCAGCTTTGGGACAGAATAGAAAAGGGTCTCTGGGCACCAGCAAGAGCTGGCTTGCAAATGAATTTGGCCAGTTTACTCACAGTGCCTATTAGGGCTGCTGCCACATTATGAGGACACACCAGGTGGTGGGGAACAACACGATGTCCCCAGGGCAGCTCACACACTGGGACCACCCAGCCTTCTCCTGGGGCTCCTGGGCCCTGACCAGTGTGTGGGTCCCTCACTGTGCAGCGTGGGGAGTCTGCCCTCCAGCTCCTTTCCAGGCCCTTCTTCCACAGCCCTGAGACAGGCAGCGTGCCCATTGGCTAACTTACTGCTAACATTTCCTGTTTCAGAGTCTTAATGAACATCTTGTCAATTTTCATCTCTTAAAAAAACACACAAAAATTGCAAAATAACTAAGTTGCATTTTTACTTTGAACTATCCTGCAGAGTTCAAACATGTGCTTCAGAAGCTCCTAACAGAACATAAGTGCCTAAATAACTTGCTTCAGACAGACATTTGGGAGAAAAATCTGCCCTCGGTGGGACATTCAGAAAACCAGGAGAGAAGGAAAGGAGAGGTGTTGTCATTTAGGAATTTTAAAAAAAGATCACCACAGAGACGGTGACATCTGGTTGAAGTGCCAGCCCGAGAGGCGAGCATCTGCTGCCTGCCACACAGTGCCAGGCCTTCCGAACGTTTACAGCTCTGCTTGTTACAGTGATGGGTAAAAACAAGTGTTCAGAGTCCTTAGGGTAGTGGTTTTCAAAAAAGAAAGTTTCTCAAAACAACTAGGTTTGAACACTCCTGAAAGCTGGGTTGGCCAGAACAGAGAGAAAGACACCCCACCTTTGGCTGAAGCCTCAGGGCAGTGGGGGTTCTGCTGGAAGCCCCCGACTCAGCCTCACTGAGAGGGGAAAACAGTTAACAAAACCTCAAAGAACATAATGACCATTATCTAGATGTGACAATAAGCTGTGACCTAGAAAGACCAAGCCAATTATCTTGCGGTGTCTGGGCTGAACTATGTCCCCAGAACCTCCAATGTTGGAGTCCTGACCCCAGTACCCCCAAGGGTAACCTTACTTGGAAATGGGATCTTTAGTGAGGAAATCAAGTTAAGATGAGGTCATTAGGGTGGGTCCTAATCACTATGACTGGTGTCTTTATAACAAGGGGGAAATCTGGAGACAGACTACAGACACAGGGAAGAGGAGAGAAGATAGGAAGAAAACTGTCTATGGGCGCAGGACACAGGCCTGGGACACATCCTGCCCTCATCTTGATTTCAGACTTCCAGCCTCCAGACTTCAAGAGAATCAGCTTCTAATGTTTAAGCCGCCAAACTGTGGTGCTTTGTTACAGCGGCCCCAGGACACTGACCGAGACGAGCTGACAAGCTACGTCTTACTAGACTTATTTCCCCGCAGAGGAAACTTTCAAGGGCTTGGGCTTTGTTGTTTCCAAGGTATAGGCAGACCTTGTTTTATTGTGCTTCACAGCTGTTGCGTTTTTTTACAAGCTGAAGGCAAGACCCTCCACCAGCAAAAATTTTACAACTCTCTTTATTGCCATACTCGCTTTACCGCAGTGGTCTGGAACTCAAACCACAATATTTCCAAGGTCTGTCTATAAAACACAATTTTTTAAACAGTAAAACAAAGGACACGTGGAACAGATGACTTTAAGAAGATAACTAAAAAAACAGTTAAGTGCCCTGGCTGGGTAGCTCAGCTGGTCAGAGCATCGTCCCAATATACCACGTTGTAGGGGGTTCAACCCCCGGTCAGGGCACCTACCCTACAAGAATCAGCCGGTGAATGCATAAGTAAGTGGAACAATAAACCGATGTTTCTCTCTCAAATCAATAAATTTAAAAAGAAATAAAAACATAGTTAAATTACACGTGCACATTAACCAGGCCACTTTGTGTGAAGAGCGAGCGTGACCAGCTCAGGAAGTCATACCCAGGCCTGCTGTCCACGTTATCACAGACAGCGTGAAATCGCCCCAGGAGCACGGTACCTGCTTACTGTCGTGCTCACTGGCCTTCTGGTTGCCTTCAGCAGGTGAGTCCCTCCGCTTTGCCTGCAAAGAAGAAAGAAAACACAGCTGACTACAAATATACAGAGCAAATGTACAGAGCCCCAAGCTTCGCTCAGAACGGAAAATATAACAAGCGCCTAGTGGCATAGGATAGAAAGGCATTCGGGGTGGCGAGCTTTTGTCAGCGCTCCTCACTGCCGCTTCTTGCACCTGGACATTGACCTCTGACCTCCGGGCCAGTCTGTGAAGGTGGCATGTGAAGGTGACCCTCTCCTCCCCTCCCAGGAAGAGGGCCTCTTCATCACCAGACACACCAATCCCTCAGAAGATGCAGGAGACTGAGTCTGCATAACACGCCTCGCTGAAGTAACCCTTACCTTCCATCCTTTCTCCCCAGATTTACCACCCCTAGGGGCACAAACCCCTTTCCTTTGATCTAACCAGTTCTTTGAGTCTTTTGTAAAAAGAATAATAATGTTTTTATTGACTTTGAGAGAGACATTAGAGACGGAAGAGGGAGAGAGAGATAGAAACATTGATGAGAGAAACATTGCTGGGCTGCCTCCTGCAAGCACCCCCACCAGGGATCGAGCCCGAAACTCAGACATGTGCCCTGACCGGGAATAGAACCATGACCGCTTGGCTCCTGTGCCAACGCCCAACCACTGAGCCACACCCAGCCGGGCACTTCTCTGGTCTTGACTTTTCTGTGAAGGACTCCATATGTGCAAGTAATAAACTTTTTCTCCTGTTAGCATATTTTTTGCCAGTTTAATTTTCAGGGCCCCAGTCACTGAACCTACAAGGGTAGAGGGAAAAGTACTTTTCCTCTCCTACACGTATGAAAGTCCTAACTCCGCTGAGCCGCCTTCTGGGACGACTGTGCACAATGATGGCTCTGCCCAGAGCTCAGGGTCTGTATTCCCTCAGGTCAAACATAAGCCCCAAAACGTCCTTCCAATCTCAGGAGTGTTCTGATTTTTATGCCTAATTTTATAAGTGAACTTGTAGCGGGGGCTCAGTTCATCCTGGCCTTTCTTCCTGAATTTTTGGGGTTTCTGGATTTGCAGGAGGACCGAGAGAGCTCACTAAGGGCAGAAGAAGAAAGGGTGTCCATGGAGGCACNACTAAGGGCAGAAGAAGAAAGGGTGTCCATGGCTGGGGCCCCTTCCCCCTACACTTGGCTGTGGAAAGCCTGCTGGGCTCACGCTCAGGTCACCCTGGTATGTCTGGACTCCCTGGATGTTTCTCACCCAGAAGTGACCTCCGACCCGTAGATTTCGGGGAGGGGCTCCAAAGTTGCTGACCAAAGACCCGAGCATCAATCACTTTTTAAGGCTAAGTTTGAAAAAGCTTTGATTGTCCTGACACAGCTCTACTTACTTCGAAAAATAAGTCCCAACCCTGGGCAGGCCCACAGAGCTCCCAGCAGTGGAACCGCAACCCATCGTCCAGGCCCCTCTCCCGCTATCCCTGCCCTGTGCCTTCAGGCTACTGGGGGGTGGGGGCAGCTCATGCTCTTGGTCAGCAACTCCCCATTACACAGGTGCTTTCGCCAACAGGTGCCCAGGCTGTCCCCTAACTGTATGTGGAACATCCAGGCAGAAGGGATGGCAATGAGAATGGTGGTTTGCCCCTAGGCAGGGTGCTGTGGGTACGGCTGTCAAAGGTGACTGAGGTTCAGAAAAACTGTAAAGGGAAGCTGCCCCCCATGAAACAGCTTCTCTGGGACATCAAGATCCACACTGAGGTTTGACACTCTTCAAGTGTCCCAACCAATCTGTTCCCTTAGGATCACTATGGAAACCAAATGCCCCCCCACCTGGTACCTGAGCCCAAAAAGGTGGCCAGAGGTAACCCCAAGCACCTCAAAGCCCTACGTGTTTTCCTACATGCTTGAAAGTCATTTACCTATCTCCTGACGATGTCACCCAGAAGAATTGGCCAATTTCCATGCCTCAGTCACTGGAAGTCTTGGTGTTTATACTGAAACAGTTTGCTTGGATCTGTTTAATGAACACTCTTAGAGGATTCTGCCTTCCCCAACTTGCACGCCCAGCCCTCGGGTCCATGTGAACTGTCTCATGGAACGACAACCGACCAGTGCCAAGCCCAGCTAGAGAGGCAGTGGCCACACGCTCTGAATACACAAGATGCACTGTTCACTTTAAAATGATGAGTTGCATATGTGAGTCTCTCCCCAGTGTAAATGAGGGCCCGTGAGGTAGCAAATCCAGGTGGAGCCCTTCCTTAGTGCTAGAGGGGCTCTGAGACCCCCGGACTCTAACTGCAAGGCCTGACCCTGGAGAGGGGGAAGGGCTGCTCGCCTACAAGAGCAGCCCAGCTCTCTGCTGGACTGAAGGAATTCAGCTCTGTCTGCAGCCAGATGGCTACTTTCTTGGTGACTCCAACAGGACAAATGAAAACACTCATGCACCAAAGTCACCAAGCTCACCTGAGGAAGNAATTCAGCTCTGTCTGCAGCCAGATGGCTACTTTCTTGGTGACTCCAACAGGACAAATGAAAACACTCATGCACCAAAGTCACCGAACTCACCTGAGGAAGGGGGTCACCCCTGCCCTCTCAAAATACTCCGAGTAAAGGCATACACAAGGAGCCACCACCTCATCAGTGAGGGNAAACACTCATGCACCAAAGTCACCGAACTCACCTGAGGAAGGGGGTCACCCCTGCCCTCTCAAAATACTCCGAGTAAAGACATACACAAGGAGCCACTACCTCATCAGTGAGGGCAGGACACAAGGTCTGAACCCTATCCCCACCATCTCACTGTGTCCTCAATGACATGAGGGTGCTAATCCATCAGNGCAGGACACAAGGTCTGAACCCTATCCCCACCATCTCACTGTGTCCTCAACATGAGGGTGCTAATCCATCACGGCCACCAGCTCCCAGAAGTGACCTCCCAGTCTCTCACTGCCCCTGAAAACCTCCAGAAACACCCTGCCTGCGACCCTTGGGAGGGCTCACTATCAGGGACCTGCCCACGCTAGCCCTCAGCCTGCCCCAGCCAGCATCTCCCCTCCCCGGTGGCAGACAGCCCTGAGAGGACCCCACCTAGACTTGGGGTCCTTTGTTTATGGTCAGCCCAAGACTGTGCCTTCATGAGCGGCCAATATGTGAGTGTCTGGCACACGGCAAGGCCCAAGCCAGAACTCGGCCAAGACTCTTCTAGAGTCTCTTAGGAGCCACCAACCCAAAGGCAGACTGTCTTCAGAAATAATTACCCAGAAATCACAACCATCTGCCCCTTACAGTTTGGTTAAAAAGCAAAGGACAGAGTAGGTCACCCACCAGGCACCCTCCTCAGGACGCAGCCTACTTACGTTTCCAGGTGGGCCACTATTGGCCGTGCAGCTGCTGGTGGGGGTGAGGTCTCGGCAGCTCCAGTCGTTGGCCATTCCCAGGCTCTCTGGAGGAAAAGGGGAAGCAGGCTTTGAGCGGCTGCTAGCTGCAGGGGTCTTTGGTCAAAGGATCCCCTACAATTAGGGAAAGAGCCTGCACTGGTCTCATGACAACAGCCTTCCCTAGTGGTGGGGAGCGAGGACATCTAAAACACCACGTGAGCCGTCAGGGCAACATGGCCCTCCGGTCTTAGGTGTGAGACTCGAATGATTTGAAGATCAGAAAACAATGTAAAATTTCAGTAAGAACAGCCACCCTCCCCATTAAAAGAAAAAACAGACAGTAAAACTGGAGTTGGCAACAAAACTGGAACCCTAACTTGAAAGCCTTTAAGAGGAAGCCCCGAGAAACACTGAGCAAAGGCCAAGTCTGCATGAGTGTTCTTGCCACTGAGATTTGCTTCTGTCTTTCGGAATGTTTTATGGGCCCATCTGGCCATCAAAATTAACCCCCCTCACACACAAAAAATAACCTATGCTAGTGCCTAGCCACTGAGCTCAGGACCCCAGAACACCTGGAGGGCAGGGCCTCTCTGGGCCCCACAAGGCCCAGCCCGCAGCCCGTCCCACCTCAGGGACCCTAAAGGGCATGTCGGTGCTCCCACCTGCTCCCCTATCCTCAAAGCCCCCTCCGGGTGAACAGAAAGTCTGGTGAGCGCCCGTGGGCCGTCTCACTTGATGGGTCTACAGAGGCCAAGCTGGAGCCTGCTGGGAGTTGGGTACTTACTTTCCACGTGTGCAAAGGCACAGAAAGGACCCCGAGGGCAGTAGCCGGTTTGGCGCATGTCGTTGCACTTTGTAGATTTGTAGATCTAGGAAACAAAAATAAAGTAAAATGGAAAGGCTAGATTGGAAATGGGTTCCTGTGGGAAGCTGAGAGAGGATGCACCACAATGTAGAGACCTAAGCTCCCAATCACAACTGGGGTCTTCTGAAAAGAGGGATGTGGACGTGGCCCCTCCCCTGCAGGCCCCGAGTCCCCAAATCCCTCCTACGCACAGCGGCCCGGGGAATGAGCGCCTGCAGCGTGTCCTTGAAATCACACACTTGGCATTTTCTGAAAGATGCACCTGATTCAGTCCCTGGTACACAGCAGGTGCTCAAGATGTGTCTATTAAATGAACATGTGTCCACTCTATGACCAGAACTGATCCACTTCATTTGGGTCAAAGATACTCTTGTCTCCTGTCAACAACAATGGGGTCTGGCCCCGCAGCACACCCAGGAAAAACAGACCAACCTTAAGGACCCCCTCGTGGGCCTTGCCAAGGCAGGGTCTCTGCACTCCTGCCCAGATCCCAAATCGACACCACCCCTCCTGTCTTCCCTGCCTTCAGTGCCGTTCAGTCCCCTTGACTCCTCAACTGTCCCCTAGGCAGCCACACCAACAAAAACGATTTCAAAGGATCTCAAATATACTAAAAATATCAGGAGGCTAAATGTTATTTTATGTGCATTTTAAAGCACAGAATCTCAACAGAACACACTTTCAAGAAACGAAACACAATCACAATCCTTTGGATGAGGGACCACCCCTTCCCAGAGCTTGCGGTGCCTCATTCGGCACAGCCATGCACTCTCTCACTCTGGCGCCTGCTTTCACACCCAGGACAGCCCCTAGTGCACACAGCGCTCGGCATGCTAGTGTTCAAGGAGCCCCGGGGGAAGGCGTGTTCACTATTCTGAGTTTTGTCTTGCTTGCGAGTGAACAAACGTAACGTATGCACCAAGGTGTATGTGTGAAAACAGATGGCAGCCAGCCAGACGAGGCTCAGCGGTTGAGCATCAACCTAGGATCCAGGAGAGCGGGGTTCGATCCCCGGTCAGGGCACATGCCCGGGTTGCGGCTCGATCCTCAGTCGGGGCAGTGAAGAAGGCAGCCGATCAATGACTCTCTCATCATTGATGTTTCTATCTCTCTGTCTCCCTCTCCCTTATATATTAAAACACAAAAAAAACCCAGATGGCAAATGGTGAGTGACACAGGACATGCTCACATCCATGTGGCTACAAACACAACCGGCAGGTCTAAAATAAAACCAGGTGCGAGTGCCCCAAGGGCACCATCAATTCACTTTTTTCTTTTCTATTAAGTCACAACACTGACAACAAACACAGTTAAGTAAAAATTCACTGGTGTCCAGCAGTGTTAAGTCCTAATTCTGCACCTACACGATCTGTATAAAAAGAAGAGCATCAGCCCTGGCCGGTTTGGCTCAGTGGTCAGAGCGTCGGCCCTCAGACTGAAGGGTCCTGGTTTCGATTCTGGCCAAGGGCACGTGCCTCGGCTGCAGGCTCGATCCCCGGCCCTGTTGGGGCTCATGCTGGCGGCAACCAATTGACGTTTCTCTCTCACATCGATGTATCTCCCTCCCCTCCCCCCCCACTCTCTCTGAAAAGCAATGGAAAAAATATCCTTACGTAGGATTAAAAAAAAACAAAAACCCAGCCACCAAGGCTCAGGTGACTTCCCTGGTTGGCAACAGTCTGTGCTGTCACACATGGTCTCTAGGAGAAGTGAGTGCTGACCGTCATTCACGGGGAAGGGACAGCTGGAAGTTGATGCCTGGTCTCCCTAGGACCCTGCCCCGCTCGGGACCCTGCCCTTTGCTGACTGCAACCTCTGCCCCTACAGCGTAATGAACCATAGCTGCGGGCCTGTGAGTCCCTCTAGAGTGTCACTGGACCTGAGGGTGGACTTAGGGACCCCCACACACAGCAAAGAGGACAGTCACCCGGACCCACCCTCTCCCAGGCTGCGAGCGATGCCGACCCGCCTGCCCGCTCGTACCTCAGGGTGGAACTGCTGCTCCGTGCGCGAATGGCAGTACTGACAGCTGTCCCCACTGTCACACCTTGAGGGCTCACCCCACTCATCGCCGTGCTTCACGCTGGGGCACGGAGTGGACCTGGGGGACAAGGGGGAGTCACAGAGGTCACTAGCAGAGACGTCCTTTCTGAGTGCCTTGGGTGTTGGTCCAGCCACCTACCACCGGGCTCACCTCTCAGAAAGGCGCACTGATGCCACAAAGGGCCACGGGCAAATGGGCCCTGGAAGAACCAATCCTTTCCTTCTGAGGACAGGCAAGAGCAGGGTAAGTGCCATCTGAGCCCGGAAAGTACTCGGGAGTCCCGTGATTATTTTCCACAAAAATTAAAGGGAATCTAAGTCAGGGCTACTGATGCTGACATGAAAAGCATCTTGGAGAAGCAGCCAGACCTGAAGCCAGGAGGAGACAAGTCTGGGCCCACAGCCCATCTTTTCTTGAAGTTGTTTCAAAATTGGATGTGAGGCCTTTCCCTTACAATACAAAAATTCTAACCAAAATCCTCTGTTTTTCATGTACTTGGCAGCTTATTTGGTTTTAGAGAGAAAAAAAAAAATACTACCAGTGGTAAATAAGGCTTTTTGTTTTCTTGGTTAGTTTTATTTTCATTTTTTAGCCCTTCCATATGCAATAAATTCACTTTACCTTCTCAAGCTAATATCTGGTCACTAAACCTTAGAGACTAATTTAGGTTCTCTGTTCTTGACTCTGAAATGACTCAGGGAAAGAACAATGACTGTAAGAAACCAAGTCTCCACCTGAGTCAGTGGTGCCCTCGGCCAAGGGAGGCGGCATCAGGTGAGTGGAGCTGGACACAGAGCTCAGGGCCTGAGGAGGAGGGAGGTCGAGGCCCAGGTGCCTGTGGTCCCCGGGGCTCACCTATACTGGAACCTCCTGGGGTTCCGCCGTCTGTCCCTGCTGTTGTGGTAGTGGGGACACGCGTAGCCCTGGCGACAGAGGCGGGGTGGTTTCGGGCACTGCTCGGTCTTGTAGCTGCCCAGCACGAAGTTGGTGTCTGGAAAACAGGGGTCCACACAGACACGAATACACACGTGCTCACAGTAGCACTAGTCATGTAGCCGAAAGGATAAACAGCCCCAGCGTCCACCCACAGACAAATGCGCACAGTGTGCTCCAGCCACAGAGAGGAGTATTACGCAGCCGTAAACAGGGACGAAGCACTGACACGCGCTACTATGTTGGGTGGACCTCGAAACCATTATGCTCAGCGAGAGAGGCTGGACACAAAAGACCACATACTCTGTGATCCCATTTATAGGAAATAGGGAGAATAGGTGAGTCCACAGACAGAAAGTACACGAGTGGCTGCCAAGCGCTGGGGGAGGGGAGCGTGGGGGTGACTGATGATGGGTCTGAGGCTTCTTTGGGGAACCTAGATAGTTTTAGAAGCAGATAAAGGTGGCAGCTGCATATCTGAATATACTAAAACCACTAAAATGCACACTTTAAAATGGTTCATTTTAACCCTGGCGTAAACGATGGACGTTGGGTAATAATGTGTTGACATAGGTTCAAGATTGTACCAGGTGCCCACAGCAGCGGGGACGCTGGGCATATGGAGGCACAGTCTATGGGGACTCTCTGTACCTCCACTCAGGTGAAGCCTCAAACTCCTCTGAAAACTAAAGTCTGTTTTTTAAATGATTAATTTCATGTATCTTGAGTTTTATCTCAAAGCAAAAATACACGAAAGCCACGAGGGTCATTTAAAAGCACTAAAAGGAGAGAATTCCTAAAACTCCTCTCCACTCTTCAGGCTGGTTAATAACTGACATCTTATTACACACGCTGGGTTTTATTTCAATTACAGTTGACATTCAATATTATTTTAGGTCAGTGTACAGCACCGCTTAGACATTTATACAACTTACGAAGTGACTCCCCAAATAAGTCTAGTAACCCACCTGACATCATAATTAGTACAACATTATTGACTATATCCCCTATGCTGTGCTAACTACATCCATGACTGTTCTGTAACTACCAACTTACTTCTTAATATGCTGTTGTTTATAAGCACATCTGCTCAGTGGGCTAAACACCGGTGGCTGAGGAACCGGCAGGAGGGAGGGAGGGGACAGCCCTGCCCGCAGTGCACAGCGCAGGCTTCATGACCACACCACCTGCCCACGCCAAATCCAGCTTCAAATAACCTCCCACATGACCAGCGAGGCGAGCCACACCGCAGGGCATAGGAGAACAAAACGGGTTTGGCCACCAAGAAAGCTGATTTTAAGAAAACAAAAATTGGCCCGGCCGGGCGTGGCTCAGCCGTTGAGCGTCAACCTACGATCCAGGAGATCGGGGTTCGATTCCTGGTCAGGGCACATGCCCGGGTTGCGGGTTCGATCAATGACTCTCTCATCATTGATGTTTCTATCTCTCTCTCTCTCCCTCTCCTTTCCTCTCTCTGAAATCAATAAAGATATATTAAAAAATAAAAATTGTAAGACATTTATTCACAAGTATTGACCGAGTGCCTAAAAGAAATACGAGGTCCTGTGCTAAGTGACACAAAATGCACAGAAATGAGCTGCGTGGCAATGACTGTGAGAAACAGAGGCTCACAGATGTCCTTCAGTAGGTGAATGGATAAATAAACCACAGGCCATCCACATGAAGGAACATTATTCAGTGATAAAAAGAAATGAGCTACCAACTATGAAAAGACACGGAGGAACCCTGAATTCATGGCACTAAGTGAAAGGAGCCGGTCTGAAAAGGCTGCACCCTGGATGATGCCAACTATATGACATTCTGGAAAAGGCAAAACTTTGGAGACAAAACAGTGGAGGAAAGATCAGTGGTCTCCAGGGGCTGGGGGGGAAAAGGGGCGAGCAGGCTGAGAACAGAACATTTTTAGGGCTGTGATACTACTCTGTGTGATGCTACGATGGCAGACACACGCCATTATACATTTGTCCAAACCCAGAGAATGCACAGCGCCAGGCCTAACCCTAAAGTAATAAATAATTACTTTAGAGATTACTAATAATGTAGAAATCTTGGTTCATCAACTGTAACAAATGTACATCACTGCAGGATGGGGGATACGGAAACTCTGTACTGTCCGGGCAAGTGCAATTTTTCTGTAAACCTAAAACCTCCCTAAAAATAACATCTACTAATTAACAATCTAAACCACCATTTACAGATAAAACATAGAAGTGTGGAGCCCTGGCCAGTGTGGCTCAGTTGGCTGGAGCACTGTCCTATATACCAAAAGGTTGTGGGCTCGATTCCTGGTCAGGGCACACACCCTGGTCGTGGGTTTGATCCCCAGCTGGGGTGAGACAACTGATCCATGTTTCTCTCTCACATCCATGTTTCTCTCTCTCTCCCTTCCTTTCTCTCTAAAATCAATAAAACTTTAAAAACAAACAAAAAACCACAAAAACGTGGAAACAGTCTGAAATAGCTCTTCTGAAAAAGAAAGTGGGTTTCAGCCCCCCTAGTGTTACCTAGAGCACTAGGAAAACAGAAGCCAGAGCGCCTGGGATAGACAGACACTCCTGACCCAAATCCAGGTGCAGGCACTGAGGGTTATCCTGTAAGACCCTCCGAAGGCTCAAGCCCCCACCTGCCCATCACCTCCTCCCACTTTCCTTCCTCATGCTCAGCCCCTGATGGTGGAACAGGGACCTCTGCCCACACCTGCGCTGTGAAACAGAGCACCGGCTTTATGGAGGTGCATGTGTGGGATTTTCCGACCAGGGAGGCCTACCAGCTGGAAAACAAGAAATGGAACATTCTCCAAGGCATTTTCCAGAAAACCAAAAAAATCCCAAGTGAAGCACTTATCCTTGGCACTGGCAAGCAGGGAGCTGCAGACACAACAGCATAAGTTTGTCCCCCTGAAACTTGGAATTGGGTCCCTGGGCCCCCCTCCACATCCCAGACGAGGCCAAAGGCCATGGTCCTCAGTATTGCTCCAGCTGGGGGCCCAGTCCTGAGTCCCAGATGCTGGCCACGCAGGTGCCACACACAGTCCCATGGCCAGAGCGGGGGAGGCAGGAGGTGGGAGGGGAACCTGGAAAGACCTGAGCAATCACCTTTATTAATTTATCCCTGGCACCGCAGCCCCAGCACAGACATTCTGGGAGCAGAGGAAAGGCATTTGTAAGAGATTCCACTGCTCAAACAACTATAGTTTAAAGCATTGTTGGTGCACATGAAAGTCAACGAAGGCAGTTGGAGGAGAAAGATCATTTCTTAGAGGAATTTTCTTAAAACTTCATGGCTCTTTGGAATAATCCAGAATAGGCAAATCCATAGAGACAGAATGCAGACTAGTGCGTGCCAGGGACCAGGGGAGGGACTGCTTACTGGGTAAGAGATTTCCGCCCAGGGTGATGGAAATGTTCTGGAACTAGATAGTGGTGGTGGTCACACAACATGGGGAATGGAATAAATGTGAATGAATTGCTCACTTTCTGTTGTTAATTCTCACCTGAGGATATTTTTCCCATTGATTTTTTTCTTTTTTAGAGAGAGTGGGAGGGAGAAGGGAGAGAGCGAGGAAGGGAAACAGTGATGTGAGAAAAACACACCAATTGGTTGCCTCCCGCATGCGTCCAGACCGGGGCCTGGAACTGCACCTGCAACCCAGGTACGTGCCGTTGGCTGGGAATTGAACCCACGATCCTCTGGTGTGCCGGCTGAAGCTCTAACCACTTATCCACATTGGCCAGGGCTGAAATGCTCACTTTAAAAAGCTTAAAATGACAAATTTATGTTATGTGTATTTTACCACAATTAAAAAAAAAAATCTTCACTGCCCATTGCCATCATCTGTGGTGGCTGCCAGGGACAAGGCCCCAAGCCCCAAGGGATGTGGCCATATTTCAAATAATCCCCCAAGGACCTAAGGCTGCTGATCCGAGGGTCACCTGGAAGCCCACAGGGCAGGTGTAGGGAGCGACATGAACAGCAGCCTGACTCTGGGAGGGGATATCTGGGAAGGAGCTGCGCCAGCTGTGCAATCTCCCCCGCCACCCTGAGAAGCCGTGGTGGGAAGGTTCAGAGATGCCTGGGTTCAGACCCCCTCAGTCCCCACACCCCCCGGGACAGAGGGTAAAGTACTCAACTCAGTGAGCCTCAGTTTCCCCATCAGACCTATACATGAGGGTGATGAGGTCCACTGAGGGGGTCACTTTATAAACAGCGACGAGGGCTCCCCCTGCCCACCCTCAGTGGCGGCCATGGGGTTACCTTGCCACCGGGGGTCCTCGCCCAGGATCTTCTCAATCATGGCCTGGCTGGCCAAGACCCCAGGCTGCAGATCGGGGATGCCATCCCCACCGCCGAGCAGGCCGTTCTGCAAGGCTTCCTGGGCCTGCAGCTCCCTACGACCAAACAACACATCGATTATGGCTCTGGCTATGTCCAAAGCCCTTCCAGAGGTGAGAGAGTCACTTGGTTCTGTCACTTAAGGAGCCCCCTGCGTGTCACTGGAGAGGCTGGCTGCCTGGAGGGTTCAGGGTAGGCATCCTGTGTCCCTCAGGCACACCCCTGTCCTGGGATGACAGTCTTGCCCCAAATCCTAATCATGTCAGAGCTGTGTTGAGTAAGGATTCGCTCATCTCCCTCACCCCAGTCAGCTCCCGCATCACACGAGTCAGAACGAAGGAAACTTTATTAGAATAAAATCAAAACCCAGAAAAGGAGCAGCTTAAGACCAGTGATGCCTGGAACGCTGGGGAGGTGAGCTGGTTCCCTGTCTGCCAGCGCAGGACGCCCCACTCACCTGATGTCACACACGGGGGGCCGCAGGTCCAGGGGGCCGTGCGCGAAGGCGCAGTGCAGCCCGTTCTTCACGCAGTGGCCCCGGGCGTCGGTCTCGTGGATGCACGTGCCTGTCTTGTAGTAGCGCAGGTGGTACTTGCGCTCTGTGTCTCCAGTTGTCCGATGCAGGTACGGACACCTGGAAAGCAGAGGGGTGACACACGCCATCTGGGCCTTAGGACCTGGGCACAGCCCTCAGTGCCAACCTGCTCCACTTCTCATCAGCATCTGGCCAGCAGCTGGTTCTTTTCCTTCACCCAAATATCTGCTCTGAGGGATTAACATCACTGGACAGAGCACCTGTCCCTGATTTGGAACCCTCCCCCAAGGCACTCAGACCCCCACAAATCCCTCAATTACCCATGGCAGAAAAACACAACACTGAATTTCCCTGAAAACCATCCTTTATAATTTTTTGAATAAAGGGTGGAAAAATAAGGTTCACCTCCAGGACGCAGCTATGTCATTCACGTTCCCTGACAAGCATTACCAAACAAAGGGTTGGTGGCCTCTCCCATCCCCCATCCAGGTACCTTCAGGGACCTCCCGAAGGGAGGCAAGGAACCTGGGGAGAAACACGGGAGCCTAGCCACGGCTGGCGGAGGACGTGGGTGGGAGACAGGCCTGCAGAGAAGCGAATGGGGGGGAGGGACAAAAGGGGCAGTGTCACACACGGCTTCCCGAGCAGTGACATGGGCTCATGCCGAAGGGAAGCAGCAGCTGTAGAGATGGTTTAGAAGGTTTCAGTCCATGTGCAACATGGGGACTTAGCCTGCCTCGAGGTCAGCCACCCCAGACAAGAGACACAGTAGGAGGGGAAGGGTAGACACAAAAGGTCCTATGTGGCAATGTCCCCTTGAGTGGCCTGAGGGTCAAGGCAGGGGCCAGCTGCTCCAATTCCCCACATCAAAGGACAAGGCCCCTCACCTCCAGTGATGACCAGAAACACCATGTGAGGCTTGGGAAAGCCCACTCCCACCTTGCTGTCCGGCAGGCTGTGGACCTGGTCCTGGATGCTGGGAGGGCCTGTGGGTGTGGCTCCCCATGCACAGATGGGTGGTGCTTTGCCACACAAAAGGATCCAAAATTAAAATAAAAAACAACTTAGTGATCATCCAGTCTAACCCCCCCTACTTATAAGATGAGGAAACGAAGGCTCAGAGTGCAGACAGATCACCCCAGACCTAACTGAGCACCTGGGGTGGGCACAGCACAAGGGGAGACAGGCACATAGTGCCAGGCAAGTCCCCAGGTTACTGGAGCCAACCAAGCAAAAGTCAGATCAGAAGCCTCCTGTGGGCGCAGGTTCANCAAGGGGAGACAGACACATAGTGCCAGGTAAGTCCCCAGGTTACTGGAGTCAACCAAGCAAAAGTCAGATCAGAAGCCTGCTGTGGGCGCAGGTTCGCACCCAGAAGAGCTGGGTGAAGGATCGCCAGAGATATTTGTGCACCACGATCATGGCAGCATGATCCACAGTAGCTTAAAGCTGGACAAAATGTCCATCAGCTGATGAACAGAAAAGCAAAATGTGGTCCATCCAGACAATGGAGTATCGCTCAGCCACAAAGGAATGAAGTGCCGACACATGCTACACCATGAATGAAACCTTGAAAACATCATGCTAAATGAGAGATGACAGACACAAAAGGACAAATACTACCTGCCCACTTATATGAGGGCCCTAAACAGCCAAATTCACAGAGGCAGGAAGCAGAGGAGGTTACTAGGGGCTGGGGGAGGGGAGATGGGGAATGACTCTTTGATAGGAACAGAATTTCTGTTTGCAGTGATGAAACGAATTTAGAAATAGATAGTGATGATGGTTGCACAACACTGTGAATGTAATTAATGCTGAACTGTACACTTAAAAACGGCAAATTATGCCCCGGGTGGCGTGGCTCCGTTGGTTGGGTGTCCTCCCGTGCATTGAGGGGCTGCCAGCTCTACTCCCGGCCACAGCACATGCCCGGGGGCGCGGGCTCAGTCCCCGGCAGGGCCGTGCAGAAGGCGGCCTATCGATGTTTCTCTCTCACATCAGCATTTCTCTCTCTCCCCTGTTCTCCCTTCCTCTCTCTCTAAAAATCAATTAAAAAACTTATTAAACAAAGAATGATTACTGTACCACTATGTATGTAAATATGAAAAAGGAGACATTACGTGTGCATACAGCACTCTACATGCCCACAGAGAAGATAACTGTTTCCTTTGTGTTCCCGACAAGGAGTTTCAAGGAATATTTTTTGGAAGATACAAGTGAAATGATCAAATATTAGAACAATTACTATTAAGCATTGACACACCCTTGTCTAAAATTCCTAATATAAAGTTATACTTTACTTTATATACTTATATATACTTCATATATTTCAAGCTCCTCCAAGCCCTTCCCTGTGTCCTCAGACAGCACTGATATGAAACTCAGTTTCTGGTACCCAGGGATTGAGATGTCATGGAGGACCCTCTGCCACACCAGGGAACCTGACCTAGAACACAGGACCCCCCCTTTTCACATACAGATAATACAGATTAAAGTCACTAATGAAGAACTTGAAGAAATAGAGAGACCAGGAATTCACAGGACAATGGACTAGAGAAACAAAGAATTTACAAGACAGAAAATGAGAGGCACTTAGCACGAAAGGCCCCCTGCTCCAGGGCGGGACCCCAGCTCAGGGCTGGGGAAAAGGCACAGCCGCGGGCAGGAAGGCAGAGCGTAGTGGCCTCTGGGGGGGAATCTGCTGATACCTAACAAGGCGGCACATGCATTTGTTCTTGCCTAGTGATCCCACCTCTAGAGACCCCCCCGAGACAGCTGGCAGAAAGAGAAAAAGACGCCCCCACAACACGATCACTGCAGGACTGTGTGTCATCGTCAAAGGCTGGAAACAGCCAAAGTCCTGGAATAAACAGGGAGCTCAATGCCGCTCTGAGGAACTGGAGGGTCCATATGGACAACCAGGGAAGGGGAGCCAGGAGGTATTGCGAGGGAAAAACATTAAGAAATGGGTGTTTATATCAGAAGATGAGGAACAAAAAAATATATATATATCTCCTTACATCAAAAATTACAGAAGGAGGAGCAACTGTTTAATGGGGAGTGAATTTCAGTTTGGAGATGGAAAAGTTCTGGAGATGGGTAGTGATGGTGGCTGCAATGTGAATGGACTCAATACACTTGAAAAAGCTAAGATGGTAAACTTTATATTATGCATATTTTATCATAATAAAAAATAAAGTAAAACTACTTAAGCTAATAGGAAAGCCCCACTATTTTAAAAAACAACTCCAATCTTCAGAACTATTTATGCATCTACTAGAAGTTAAGCATGAGAATTCCACAGTCTGGGGAGAGGGGACCAGAACAGCAGAGCTGCAGCAGGCATAGCACAGGGCTCCCGATTTCTCTAAGGTTAAATCTAAACTTTCATTTGGTTCCTAGTGGTCCCTCAGAGTAGCTCTGAGCATCATGTTTCTTCTCCAGTACCATTGCCATGGTAACTGGAGGCAGGCCAAGGCCTCTGGCTCCCCAGCACTGAGCACCAACCAAACAGGCACTACTATTTCACTTGGAGCACGCCACCTCCTTCATGAGTTAAAACATGAACTGACCTTAAAATATGGGAGAACACTGAATAAGAATTGGTCTCACCTTAAGAACAATGAAGAGGTGAAAGGGAAAAACCTCAGAGAATATCCAGGGACAGAGCCAGGCCCCCTCCTGGGGCAGCGAAGAGGCGGAAGAGGCTCCAAGGGACAGCCCAACATGATGCACAGATTCCTCCTTGCAGCAGGAGTGCACTAATCTATCCCCAGTGCCACCGTGCTGACTGGCAGGGCCACTGCCAGCCCTCACACTCGCCAAATTCAGGGTGACATCCATGGTTCTCAAACTTGCCCACAACAATGAGTGACCTGAACAGTGTAATTAAAACAGGGCTCCATGACGGCACAGTGCAGGGGTACATGCAGGACATCGGACACAGCTCCACCACAACGCTGTGGAACCACTGAACCAGGATGGAAGGAACAGGGAGGGACACGCCAAGGGTTCAAGATCACCCCCAGGCCTGCCCTGGCCCAGTAGCTTAGGTGGTTGGAGCGTCATCCCAACACATCTAGGTTGTGGGTTCACTCCCCAGCCCCAGTCAGGGTGTGTGTGTGTGGGGCCAACCGATTGATGGGTCTCTCACATTCTCACATGGATGTTTCTCTCTCTCTCTCTCTCTCTCCCTCCCTCCCTCCCTCCCATGCTCTCTAAAAATGGAGGGGGGGGGAATGAATGCATAAATGAAGTGCAACAACAACAAAAACACATTGTCCCAATCCCTAAGGCTCCAGGAGAGCCTGAAACTGTCCCTTTCCCTCCAGTAACTCACCTGAAACAAAAGTGGACCCACCAAACTCAGACCCACTACACACCAAGATCATTCTATATATGAGAAAAGGTGGCCATCACACTCAAACCCACTGCACATTAACATCTGCCTGTGAACTAGACCAGGCCTGGACATGGCTCCCACATTGGAATGTGGGTCAGAACCACCTGGAGGGCAAGTTTCTAGGTGATGCTACTGGTCCAGAGGCTGGTCCAGGAGACCCACTGGGCTGAGAAGGACACTCAAGATGACTCCCTCTCATTCCTTGAAGCTCAGGCACAGGTGGGAGAGCAGAACACTGCATAGAAATGACTGAGGTGCAAAATGGAACACAATCAAGCAGCCTGATAGGAGTTTCGAAAAGGAGCATCGAGAGAAAGACCTGTGTGCCGCACACAACTGGAGGGGCAGGGTCAGAGGTCCCCAGGTTGGGGGTGGGGGACCGGTGAAAGGGTGGAGCTTGTATGGAGAAGAGTGTCACCTGTTGCCTTCCCCCTCAGACACTGGGAACAGGGCTTTGCCAGGTAACTCCCCATGTTGACCACGTCCATCTGTTCAGCCCTGTGCCCTGCAGCCTGTGGCTTCCAAGGGCTGCCCTGGACTCCTGAGCCAAGACAGTGACCCCTCATTAGTCCCTAAGGTGGAGCATCAGCTCCAGCAACGAGTGCACCTCCTTCCTCTGCACCCACAGAGCTGCCATTCTCTCCTGGGGACAGAAACCATCTGTCCACTGCCCTCCAAGGGGCACCTGATCTCCCCATGCCAGGCATTTCCTCCTGGTCACCATCTCTGTTCCCAGCCCTTCACCCAAAGCAGAAGGAACCGAAGTGCTGCAATCACTCAGTGCTTTTAACATATTTTTATGGGTCTCTTACAGTTCCAACTCAGTCACCTAATTGTAATTCTCTTAAGCTGGTTAGCTTGTAACCAAAAGGTGTGTTTTCATTTAGTCGATAAGTAGCCCCTGCTATTGAATATTATGCTCTAATGCTCTACACCTGCCCTCTACTGTTCTACACCTTACCCCAAAAGCACAAGCAGAAGGCGCTCCTAAAATGTTTAAACAAGTTCATAACCACCCTGAAGTGAGCGAACTTCTAAGCCTCAGGTCCTAAGACACTCGACTTTAAAAAATTAAACATTTCCCCCCCCTTCTTTTAAAATGTGAGAACCCGCCTCTGTAAACGCCCGAGCAGCACTCAGAACTGCGCACGCGCATTGAGTATCCCGTGGCGGGAGGTGCGGACCAAACCTGGGTTCAAGGTGGTGCGAACGCAGAGCCCAGCCCGGAGGACTCTCCGTCCCCGCGGGGAGCAGGGCAGCGGGGGGCCCAGGCCCCTCCGCACCCGATGCCTCTCAGGGCAGCTTTCAGGACCCCCGACGCCTCCGGATCGAAGCCGCCTTCCTGCAAGCCCCGCCTAGGAAATACCTGAGGGGGATCCGCCCAGGTGCGAACACCGACCCTGTGGCGCCCGGCCCGGCCCCAGGCTCGGGAGCGGTTCGCCCGGCCACCTCCGCGTGAAGAGCAGGGGACCCGCACACCCGGAGGCGGGGAGGCCGGTTCCCACGGGGTTGGCGCGGCGCGGCGCACGTGACTCGGACGGCCAATCGCGGCCCGCGCCAGGGAAGGGGCGTGTCCACCAGAACAAAGGGCGGTGGGAATGGGAGCGCGGCGGGGCTCAGGCGCAGACCCACCCTCCGGTCAAAGGGGCGACCATCGGCGGCGGAAAGGGGGTGACAGCGGAGAAGGCCACAGACGGAGGGGTAAGGGGGGATAAGAGGGTGACTGCCTGCCAAGGAAAAGGGATGACAGCGGGAGACCACCCAGAGGTGACAGGGAGAATGTCCACGGAGCAGAGTGACAGCACAGGAGACTGACCGCCTCCAGTGAAAGGGAGTGACAGCGGGAAAAGGGGTGACAGCAGGGGGTGCCCATGGAGAGGGGGAGATGACGGTCCCCCTCCCCAGAGGTGACAGCGGGAATGGGGGGGTGGCATCACGGGAGGTGGGGTGATGGTGAGAGGGGGAGGGTGACTGCCCACCAACAAAAAAGGGTGAGGGGGGGTGTGACAGCAAGGGAGGGGCCACCGGAAGAGGGTGATGTCAGGTATGTCAACCCTCCTGCAGTCCCCATCCCCTCCTGTCCAGGCTCAGCCCCATGGTGCCCCCCGCCAGTGTCAAGAACATTCAATGCTTCTGTTACCTGACTGGTCTTTGTTCTTTGATAGTACTCATGTTTTAAAATAAAAGGCTGATAGGTCCAAATGCTCAAAATAAAAATTTCAACAACCAATGAACTGAAATAAAAGGAAGACCTTGTCCTTGCTCTGAAAGGTAGTATCTAATTACAAATTCCATAGCAACTCTTTGTGAACCAGAATATGTAATTCAACAGGACAATTCCATCTTCCAGTTCCAGGGCATTCCATCTTTAGGTGAAAGGAAAGTCTCTCTCCCAGGAAATGAGCGAAAAGGAGAGATCCCCTGGGGAGACTACTGGCTGTCAAACTCATCCTAAAGGGCTGAAGCAAGTCATCACATGTGCTCAAAAGAAGTTACAAACACAATCTTTAATAAGAGACATGTGACTTTCTTACTGTGCATAGATGTTCACAGGATGTATCCAAAACAGAAAATGTCAAACAAGCATCTCCCTCCCATGCATCCTGTTACTCAGTGATAACCTGCATGCCATTTAGACTACACTAATATTTTTTATTTTAATATTATTTAATATTTTATAATAAACAATTGCGTATCACTTGATTACTATTTGAGCCCAGCTTAAAATGACCAGCTTCAGGTAGGTGTTCATTGCAGAACTCTATATCCCATAAGAATTGGACCCCACCCCCATGTCCAGCAGTGGGGCTGCATCAATAACAGGACATCCAGTCTCTGGGGCCCAAAACAACCGTTAAAACATGCTTTTTTTTTCATGCATTAAAAGCATCACCAGTGAATACTGCCACTTACTCCTCCATACTGGACTCTGGGGCGGGGTCAGACATGCCAGGTGACTAGATCCCCGCACCAGGGTCAAGCAGCAGGGCGACTCAGGACCCAAGGTCCAGAGAGGCGACTGACATGATGAAGGGAAATGGGGGACCTGATACCAGGCCTCGGCTAGACAAAAACATCTCTCTTTTTGAAGAGCCATTTGCAGAAAACATTGGCTCAAGAAGCATTTTAAAAGGCACTTTTCAAACTTCACTGAAGTATAACAATCTTAACCTGGTGGAGCTGGCTACATTATTTCAACAGGCTTCAGCTGCCTTAACACTATGTAACTAGCTGGTGTTCAACTGAACACCTTTCAGTAACTGTATAAAGTTTATAAAATCACCACAGATTAAAAATGGACTCCCTGGCCTAAGCATTTTGGAAAATGAAGGAAAACAGACTCACACCAGTCTAGTCTCCTTGTGTGGCAGGGTGAAAACTGTTTTCAAAAGGGAACATACCTGGAGAATCATCTCCCTTCAGAGGATCAGGGGATGGAGCCTGAAGACCTCCCTTAGATCAGATCCTCTAGACAGAAGCTGAACAAGCTGCTCTTTTTAGAGGGTCCTAGGGCACAGTGATGCCACCCCACCTCCTGGCAGGAATGGATACCCCCACCCCCATCAAAAAGGCCACAGGAAAAAAGCAAAACTTCCCACTACCTATCAATCTCTGTCTACAAGTATACAAGCTGAATGTACTTTTCTGTTTTCCCATTCTATATATAGGGTGGGGCAAAGTAGGTTTATAGTTGTTTGTATGAAAGATAATACAGTAATTCATAATTAATAACACAAGAATAAACTCTGGCCCTAGCAGGTTTGGCTCAGTGATCAGAGCACTGGCCCGTGGACTAAAGGGTCCTGGGTTTGACTCTGGCCAAGGACATGTACCTTGGTTGCAAGCTTGATCCCCAGCCCACAGCCAGGCGAGGGCAGCAGGCAACCAATCAATGTGTCTCTCTCACATTGTTGTTTCTCTCTCGCGCGCCCACTTCCACTCTTTCTGTAAAGCAATGGGGAAAAAGGCCTCAGGTGAGGATTTAAAAAATAATAAAAGAATAAACTCTGTTATTTCGTGTACGAACAACTGTAAACCTCCTTTTGCCCCAGCCTGTATTTCAAAATAAAGACATCTGTTCATAACACCATTAGGAAACTTGTAAAAAATAAAAAATAAAATAAAATAAAATCAACCCAAACAAAACCTTGATTTCCTAAACTTTAAAAAGTGCTGCATAAATGAGAGTCCGCAAATAAAATTGTCTTTTAAAAAAAAACATAAACAGCAAAAAAGGTGACATTTCAGATATAGCTGCATAGTGTGAGTACATATTCTAACGAGCTCTCTTATAAAAACAACAGACAACTACAAAAATGGTCCTAAACCTAAAAGCTGTACTTCATTTGGGCCGCTCCTAATGCAAGAAATTTGGAGAACTGTGCAGCAATCAGAAGTGGGAAGTGAAGGAATTCGGTTTGTACCATGCAAGGTTTATTACTGAGGCACACACAGTCCTTCTCACACTGGCCTAAAGATAGGAAAATGCCCCCGCGCCCCACCACCTGTCCTGGTCACAGGAAAAACTTCAGAGTCAAGACAGGATCCCCTGTACAGGTTGAGCCAGGTGCTGAAAATAACCAGTGGTCTGCCCTCCACTGGCAAGGCCGGGGGGAAGGGCAGAGCGGCAGGTGCTGCCCCCTGAGGGCCGGCACCACGCCCCCCAACACACAGACACACACACTCACTCGTCGCCGTCGGGGCACACGCCACTGGCCTCGTCGTACTTGGAGCAGTACACGTCTGGGCTGTAGTTGAAGGTGCCGTCGCGCCTGCGGAGCGGTCTGCGCCGACGCTGATTTAGGAAATGCCAATGGAAACAGGTAAATGGCCTGTGCTGGGTGCACTTGTGCTGCACAAACAGGGAGCACTGCTCTGTCCTAAACTCCTTTAGATACCTAAAAAGACAAACAGCGTTGCGGGTCGCTTCCGCCGTCACTGCCGCCAGCAGGCAGCCGGAGACTCGTGGGTTGGGGCAG